ACTATAACTATAAGGGGCGTTGTCACACACATTGTCCCACGTTAGCTGGGTAAACCGTGGCTCACCATGATCAGACGTCTACCAAACTAAACTGGATTCACACACTCGCATAAAGGAAGACTGAAAAGAACAGGGAGACTGAAGGAAGAGAGGAAAGAAAATGCCATACCTAGAATCAGCGTTATCGTTATCGGCTGGAGCTACGGCGGAGGGCAAGCCAGGTTTTATCTTCATCTTGGTTGAGCCGGTCACTCAGAGCGGCTAGCTCGGCGTCAGACAAATGACCTCCCTCCTCGACTTGAATCGTGGTCTTCACATTGTCGATAGCATCGCTTTGCGTGACGTAAACAGGCGCGTCGGAACGACTTTGGAAGTGGGGCGGCCATGGAAGGGGGTCCGGGGGTCCTCCCCCGGGAAAAAATTTCAAAAATTAAAGCCAATTGCAAGCATTTCCGGGCATTTGGTGCCATTTCAGTGTACGGTAACTACAATGAAAGACTTTTTGATTCTGCAAAAAACCAAGAAGATGCTACGATCGGGGACAAACATTACCCTCCCCCGGGAAAAAAATTCAAAAATTGAAGCCAATTGCAAGCATTCCCAGGCATTTGGTGCCATTTCAGTGTACATGGACTTATGATTCTGCAACAAACCACGATCGGGGACAAGGATTTGCCACGTTTGCGCTGAGATCATCGCGCTTTGTTGCAGTGTGCTAAAAAAAAAAAAAAAAAAAAAAAAAAAAACGGCCGAGAAAGTGGGGCGGCCATGGCCGCCCCGGCCGGTGCGGTTCCGACGCCCTTGGTAAAGAGTGATGGTCTAGCCAGGAAGAGTGTGGACGAAAATCTGCATCCCACCACGGAGACGAAGTACCAAATGAAGAGTGGGCTCCTGCTTCCGACTGCGTGCCGGCGAAAATCAAACGCTGCTGGTCTTGGGGAACACCCTCCTTGTCTTGGGCAGCAGCCTGCCTGTTGTCGTCCTCATCAGCTTCGCCATCACCACCGGTAGTAAACATGTAGGTAGCGGGTCGCTTGGAATCGCCATCGGAGTCTCCAGTGGATGCCATGCGGAGGGAAGGGTGATCCACGCTAGCACCCTGACTGTGCTGCAAGCTAATAAGTATGGCCAAGCCCAGGACGGCAAGAAACATGATTCTTATCTTGATTCGTCGCAGGGAGCTGCAGCGGGTTGAGCCATGGGGGTCTGGGGTCGAATCACGTTGTTTTATTTATTTTTTAAACACACCGCTGCCACCAATGTAATGGGTAGCCGAGTGGTAGGCGCGGTGAAATCAACAAGAATTACTTTTATTCTACTTCTTTCAGGTACACACCTGAGATATAATTATTAGTGAAAGAAGAAACGGCAAAATGACTGACTTTCTCTCCGGTGCACACCTGGAGGTTGAATAGCTCGTTATTATCAAAATCTCATCTTCATCAGAACAGAAATGCGCAGCCGCTTATATGCAGCAGACGCCGTACGCTTACATACGGAGATACACTAAATATACATCAGGCAAAGCTCCGTATTAGTTCCGTACTGCTTCCGTATTGGTCGGGCAGGGATACTACAACTGCAAAGCGTGCATTTTATATTTGTTCCAGTCAGACAGTACTCGAGTATGGTAGTAACTCATTTGCTCATTGCTTGTCAGTAACTCTTCATGATCGTCTAGTCCGTCTTAATAATAGAGCTCTACGCATTGTGTTCAGTATGCCTCGTTTTTATGACGTATCCCTTATTAATGCACGCCATCACATTCTCCCTTTGTCTGTGCGCTACCAGTTCAAACTCTATATCTTAGTGTTTCGTGCCCTGAATCAGTTAACTACTACTCTCCTTACTGATTGCTTTTGCCTTCGTTCTACTTCTACTCGTACTCGTGCCAATTCCTGCACTCGCTCTCAGGTATCTTCGTCTGTCACTCTACCAAAAGCTAAAACTCGTTTCGGTCTCTTTTCAGTTTCTTTCATCGGTTCCGACCGTTGGAATGCATTCCCCGCTGCAGTCCGCTTATGCTCTTCACTGCACCTATTCCGTAATTCATTACTTTCATTTCTAGGGTACCCTGTAAGAAGGCCTCAGGTCTGTGGGGATTGCCCTATAAAAAATTTGATAATAATAATAATAATAATAAAGGGTTTGCTCCCCACACCGGAGCTCGCGCTATTCCGCCGGCGGAATAGCGCGAGCTCCGGTGTGGGGAGCAAACCCTTTCTTACAAGTCATCGCCGAAGTCGCAACCACTACTTCGTAATAATAATAATAATAATAATAATAATGCTCTAACCACTGAGCTATGGGACCGGGCTGAACCTAGAAGGCGCTGACAAGTTTTTCACTCCAAAGGCAGCTCACAACACGTGCCACACATACTGATGGCACTTGGGTCTTTCTCCCTCCCCCAGGGGACCAACCACGGTCAGTTTCTGGACCCTACCAGAAGTCAAAGCGAGCGGTAAATTTTTGAAAGGATTGGGAGAACTTCAAATTCAAAGAATCAGTTGGGGAAGTGAACTGCCTGAAAAGAGAAAAATCACCAGAATCACCAGGACTCGAACCCGGGACCTTGCTTGTCATGAGCAATGCTCTAACCACTGAGCTATGGCACCGGGCTGAACCTAGAAGGCGCTGACAAGTTTTTCACTCCAAAGGCTCTGGCTCTGGTGGGTCTGGCGGTTTTTTCTCTTTTCAGGCAGTTCACTTCCCCAACTGATCCTTTGAATTTGAAGTTCTCCCAATCCGTTCAAACATAATAATAATAATAATACGAAGTAGTGGTTGCGACTTCGGCGATGATTTGTAAGAAAGGTTTGCTTGTTGTTGTTGTTGTTGTTGTGTTTATTTTAATTCGCAAACCAAACGGGCAGATCTGCCCAATGAAAAGGTGGCGAATGCAGATAGAAAGCAGTAATAAATGAAATTGGGGACTGATGTAATTAGGATAGAGGTGGAGAAAAACTTCAGGCACAATCTTCCTCAGCCTACTCAAGCTCAACTGATGAGGAGTGAATTCCCCGAAACACTGTGTATTGAGCAAGGAGTGGTGCTTTCTTACAGGTTTGCCGAGTCGAAGGTTCGATGGACTTCTCGTGTGCTCTGGATGGCAGTCGTGAGTCAGTCAAGTGTCAAGTAAAGTCGCCGGAATAGCGCGAGCTCCGGTGTGGGGAGCAAACCTTTCTTAAAATAATAATAATAATAATGCAATTTGAAACTCGGGTATTGAGCCAATAATAAAAGTAGAAAGGAAAAGGACATATGGAAACGAGTTAAGCCTAGTTCACATTCGACGCAACGCCGACGGTACGGGACGTAAGGGCTTGTCGGGAGTGCTGGGGTGAGCTGTAAAATCCTGTACGATTGGTACGACACGACATGCAGCAGTCGTTGCGATGTTCAACGTCGAACGGCGCGAGTCATAAGGCACGGTCCGTGACGGGGTGACTTTCGGACCTAATTTCTCGTTTTCGGGACTTCTCTTCAATTATTTCTCCTTGAAAGAAGCGGAATCAAGTTCACAATACCAGTTTTCATGAAGACCAAAACATTAGCCCTGAAAGTTGTGGCATTCAAATAATAGCCCCAGGAAATGATAGAATAGTTCGTCTGTCACGCTTCTGAACTATCCCTAAATACAATAGGTGACATGAGATCTTATGTTGCTAAAATTCAACTCAAGTCGTGCTAGCCATTCTGTGACTTATCATGGGAAGCGCAGTGTTCCAAATGCTAAACATTTCCAAGTACGAATCGGGAGTAGTCGGCGCACGACGCCGTCTCCTGTTCACACTCGAATTGCAGCCGTTTTGTACGCTTGAGTCCCCGTCTACGACCGTCTACGGTATGAAAAGTTGGATCGATCCAACTCTTCCCGTCGCTTCCCGATCTGTACGGTAGTACAGTTGCGTTCCCGTTCCTGGTGTTCACATTGGACGCCGTCAGTCCGTCCCGTCGCTTCCCGTCGATCCTTACGTCGCGTCCCGTCGCGCCCCGTCGAATGTGAACTAGGCTTTAAGAGTAACTCTCCACCACTGTAACTAGATACTATATACAGTCAGAAAGTGCAACAACTAGGCACAAAACTGACAGAGTACTGAGACATTCGACGTCCTGACACCTAGCTTCAACACATCTCCGTAGCGCTAACCGACAGCCTTCCAACTTGGAAGGTTCAAGGTTATGGAAAGACCAAAGAGGGGAAGGCAAGCTCAACGAAAACGAGCACAAGCTACAGTCCCAACGGAACAAAGAATGTCGATTGTCACTGGTCGATGACGAGACCAGTAGGCGATTTGACAAAGCGGTCTAACTACAATTCGAAGCAGCAAAGCAGCACACCACCCAACTTGGGTGGGTCAAAAATATCAAAGATAAGTTAAGAAGGGGGAAGCTTTGCAATGTCATGCATGAGGAGTACTGTAGGAGTTTAGATTTCGGCTTGTACAATTCGTTCTCGCAAAGCTTCCCCCTTCTTAACTTATCTTTGATATTTTTGACCCACCCAAGTTGGGTGGTGTGCTGCTTTGCTGCTTCGAATTGTAGTTAGACCGCTTTGTCAAATATCGTATTGGTCTCGTCATCGTCCAGTAACAATCGACATTCTTTGTTCCGTTGGGACTGTAGCTTTTGCTCGTTTACGATGCGCTTGCCTTCCCCTCTTTGGTCTTGCCATAACCTTGAACCTTCCAAGTTGGAAGGCTGTTGGTTAGCGCTACGGAGATGTGTTGAAGCTAGGTGTCAGGACGTCGAATGTCTCAGTACTCTGTCAGTTTTGTGCCTAGTTATTGCACTTTCGGACTGTATAATAGTATCATGTTACAGTGATGGAGAGTTACTCTTAACTCGTATCCATATGTCCTTTTCTCTTCTACAATAATAATAATAATAATAATTTCTCAGTTTCCCAACAGTAACGTTACAGAACGTGCAGTAACCTATTACATCAGTAAGCCATCAACTCTTCCTATGCCTTTTATGCTTGCTTTGCTCTGTAGCCCCTGCCCGGCCGCGCGCCCACCAGCCCAGGAGTAAAAATCCGTTTTGTGAACAGGCTCTGAATGCTGTAGAGCGCTTCTGTAGGGACATATACCTTAGAACTTGGAAAGCCGGTGATAGATGTCATCGTGCACGCAAGGGCAGACGTCTCTATTGCACATACTGGTAATAATGTAAGTATGCGTGATATCACTGATAATACGTACATGTACTGTACATGTATGGGATATACACCAAATGTCGTAGTGTTTATTGGGAATTTACACGTACATGTACACCCAGCTGGTATTAACCCCTCCCCCTCCCTCTTACAGGTTGTAACTTTTCGACTTTCAAGGGAGTTTGAAATTTTCTCTCCAATTGAAAGAGAGAAAATAATAGAGAAAGGAAAGTAGCTTTAGCAGGAATGTAAGCCGCAACCACGACTTCCAAGCACATATCTTGACCACCCAACAGTTCCCACTTATTTAAATAATTAAACAAGAAATGAATAATGATTCGGTGCGAAATGAAAATAAGAGCAAATATTATGCAAGTATTGACCTTTGATATAATCATACCCACACTCATAAGTGACCACACCATGAACAGTATCAAATTCAAATAAATTTGCTTTGACTCAATAAATACCACTGCACTTTTCCCTACAAAAAGGAGTATTTTATAAACAGTATGTATTGGCCTGAGTGGTATTTTAGATACAGTCAACTTCGCCTGTAACGACACCCGGCGGGGCATCAGAAAAGTGTCCTTATTCGCAAAGTGTCGTTATACATGTACCTGAAGTCTCATTATATGTATTACAGTTAGATGGGACTTTGCTCTGGGCATTGGAATTCTGTCGTTATATCCGCTGTCATTATTAGCGAAGGTGACTGTACAGTAATTAAGTATATATTGTGGCATGGTTGGGTGGGTAATACTGGATTTTCAGTGCCCGACAAGTGAGCTCCAGGGCTCACTTGGAGGGCACTGGAAATCCATTATTGCCGGACCAACCATGCCATAATATCACTTTCAGCCTAAGTAACGTTACTGAAGACACTAACCTGAAAGAATCAAAACTACAGTAGTAAAGGAGAAAGTCGACCTCGTGTGCAGCAACACTTGAAAAGGAAAGAAAGGAAAGAAAAAGAAAAGCTGAGATCGCCACTTTTGAACACGCGTTCACGTGTACACTGCACTGTACACAGTCACTGTGTTCAAATCCCGTAGATTTCACGCGTCCAGTGTCACTATCAGGGTCGTCACGGACGACGGGCTTTGGACACGGGCGTTGGACTGATTTATTGCCCGCTCATACAGATCAGTGATTGGCCCGATCCAAGGAAACAGTCATGTGACATGTGAAAAGTACTGTTTATAATTATGCCAGTAAGGCCAATAAATGTACAAAAAATGTTGCGACATTGACGGTGATTATTGAAGAAAGTGTCTGCTCCGAACGTCGGAGCTCGCCAATAAAACACTTTTTAGGGAAAGTGCAGGTCAACATACACTGTGCATAATAAATGTGTAGAGCCGAAGGATTTATTGCAACTGTATACCAGTATAAAAACCGAGTTTTTTATACTGGTATACAATTGCAATGAATCCTTTGGCTCTACATGTATTATATACATAATAACACCCCGATAGTGCGCTATTATATACATGTACATAATAACACCCCGAAAGCGATAAGTCCAAAATGAAGAAGGGGGGGGGGGATCAATAGCCACATAGCGTGTGCGTAGTGCAAAATTGCACCAAATAATGATTAAAAGGGGAAGTATGGTCTAGAATCAAAATGTCACTACCCTTAGTCTTCACTCTTCAGGGTGCTGAGTCGAATGCATGGTCTTGGTCCGAGGAAGCTGAGACGCTCTCTTCTTCCTTTATTCCCATTGAACTCGCCACTTTCACTGGAACTGGGTGACTGTGCCCACCAGATGGAGATTTATATGGAAAATGTTACTAAAGGCGCCATTTCGTTCTTGTAAACGCACGGATGAACGTGATCGGCCCATACGCAAGAGGTACACAAAAGGAAAATAAAATACAGTCGACTCCACTTATAACGAACTCATATAATTATAGCAAATTTCGTGATATAGCGAACCATTGTCCTTATCCCTGTTTGAACCCATCGACCCCATATAGCGAACAGTTTTCGTTTATGGTTGATAAATATGGTGGTAAAGACACACCCAGCAATATGGCGGTAAACACACGCCTGCCCACACACGCTCTCTAGGCTGCAAAGTTCTAGCACAGAGCTCTCCTTCCGGCGTGTGTTTACCGCCATATTGCCGGGTGTGTCTTTACCACCATATTTATCAACCATCAGTACAGCTGCAATGGTGTCTTCAACTTCATTTCTTTTTTAGTTTTCGTTTTATATAACGAACCAAATCTTGTAGGAAACTAACTCTCCTCCTCCATGCGCTCTAAAGCCGACCATTGCTACCCTCGGTAGCCATTACTCACACCAATAACTTCAAACAACTAAGGAGTCACGGGTAAAACATTTCCTTCTGACAGCTGTTTCGCCTATCAAAACAGCCGAAAGATACCGTTCAACAGTTTATTCAAATCTTGTAGGGTCACATGTAAACCAAGTGCGCTCATACTGTCATGCGCCACTTGCCAGCCATGACTTGCTGTAAGTAATTAGCTGTATAGTGTGAGTGCATTTCGGTTATAACGAACTTCGGCTATAAAGAACTAATTCTTCTTCACAATGGGGTTCGTTATATCAGGAGTCGACTGTAGGGCTGTTTCGTTGTTACTCGGAGTTTTATTGGCCCATATGTTGTGTTCTTTTCGACTCTGAGTCGACTGGTTTTGGTCCGAGAAGGCTGCGATGCAGCGTTCTACCCATTTCCCCCCATCGAACACGGTTGAATACGCGGCCACGTGCTGATGCGTTTACCAGTCACCTGGTCACCGTGCCCACAGGCTGCAACTTAAAGCATGTTAAGGGAGGCAATTCACACGACAGGCACTAGCACATTTTACAGGGAGTGATATACATGTACGAGAAAAGACTTAAAGGGGAAGTATACCCTAAAATCAAATTTTCACCAGTTGTAGTCTTCGGGGTGCTGAGTCGAATGGTCTTGGTCCGAGAAAGCTGAGACGCTCCCTTCCTACTTGAATCCCAATCGAACTCGCGCACTTCCACCGAAACTGGGTGACTGCGCCCTACTAGATGGGGATTTGTATGCAAAATGTCACTAAAAGCGCCATTTCGTTCTTATAAAAGCACGGATGACCGCGATTGGCCCATATGTTGTAGTCTTTTGGACGCTGAGTCGACTGGTTTTGGTCCGAAAAGGCTGCGATGCAGCGTTCCTCCTTTATTCCCAATCGAACATGGTTGAACAAGCGGTCACGTGCTCCTGCGTACAACAGTCACCTGGTCACCGTGCCTGCAGGGTACAACTTACTAGCCTGTTTGACCTTTTTTGGGTGCAGTCCTGTCACTCGAGTTGAACTCGAGTTGAACCTTGGTGTGAAAGTTGTCGCCTGCTGGCGCGGTGACCAGGTGATTTGGGCACCCAGGAGCACGTGACCGCTTCTTCAACCATGTTCGATTGGGAATAAAGGAGGAACGCTGCATCGCAGCCTTTTCGGACCAAAACCAGTCGACTCAGCGTCCAAAAGACTACAACATATGGGCCAATCGCGGTCATCCGTGCTTTTATAAGAACGAAATGGCGCTTTTAGTGACATTTTGCATACAAATCCCCATCTCGTAGGGCGCAGTCACCCAGTTTCGGTGGAAGTGCGCGAGTTCGATTGGGATTCAAGTAGGAAGGGAGCGTCGCAGCTTCCTCGGACCAAGACCATTCGACTCAGCACCCCGAAGACTACAACTGGTGAAAATTTGATTTTAGGGTATACTTCCCCTTTAAGTGACTGTTTGGAATTACACAGCTGTTGTTGTTGTTGTTTCTTTATTTTACTTCACCATATGAACAGGCAAGACTGCCTTCTCACCGGGGCTGTTGGCCCACGGCTCTCACAATATGATGAAAATGCTGCACTCGACCACAGGAACATTTGCATTTTTGAATGCTTTACCGACCAGAAGCCATGGGCATTTCAAATTTTCAAAACACGCTCATCATGCTCTAAAAAGAGCCGCGTAAAAATCAAGTCTTGTTTCGCGCTCTTTGGTGTAAATGTTTGGCACCTATGAAATCAGGGGATGGCCCACGCCTGGTAAAAAAAAGCATGATTGTGAATGAAAAACGTAAAATGTTTGGCACCTATGAAATCAGGGGATGGCCCACACCTGGTAAAAAAATCAATGAGGAGCTAAATACAAACAAAACGAACTGAAAATACCAAAGTAAATGAATCTCATTACCATGGGAACACCATTACCATAGAAACTGTACAAGCACATGTATAATGTACACCGTTTATGGCACCAGGGCACATTCAGCAGCCGCCAGCACAGCTGACCCAGACAGATGTCGAGACGGGTTCCGACGGTGACCACGTAGACTGGCAACCATTGCCTGAACAAGGTAAAAGGAGATCTTCGCCCGTACAAAAGCCATCGTGACCGGGAGCGCCAGGATGGCACATTCTTCCTCGCCGGGGGCCTGGCGACTAGTCAGTGCAGGGAGGAAGCTTGCCTGATGGAGTTTTCCAGCAGTGTCAGGAGGTCCGCGATGGCTGGCATTGTCCTCGCAAGGAATGCCATTTATGGCGGAGACCATGAGTAAGGACAGGGTAAGCAGCCTGAGGTTGAGACGCCGCATGTTTGGCGAGGGTCTGCAGCTCTGTGCACCATGTGTCAACCTTCTGGGACACGTAACCGTCGCAGAACAGGGCAGAGCCAAGGGCAGCACCAAGATACCGATAGCCGTCCGTCCGGCTGTTAGCCCCGGTTGTGGCGAACAATTCTTTCCTCCAACATACAGGTGAGCTGGTGAGCGGTAGGTGTTGATGATAGCTGGCGCGAGCTTAGGACATAGCCGCTTAAGGTGGCAGACTACCCAAAAATTCGCTGAAAAATCGAATTTGTAAATTCATATTGAGTGCTACGTCAGTTGAAAGAGCATGAATAGCTGCAAATTCTCTGAAAATTGTGTCCCGATCTGACCGGCCGTTCAAGAGTTATGGCCGAAAATGTGCCCTTGCAAGGAAAGATTTTTTTGTTGCACGCTGTCATTTGTTGGCAGCACTGTATTTGAATGTGAGCAGACCGTGCGCAACTTGTCATATCATGGAAACACGTGAAAGTGAGCAGACTTTTGCTCCAAGTCCAAAAAATCAGGTTTTTGAGCCACGTGTTGGGCCGCCGTGCAGCAGGACTTTTGCCAGCACCCTCGTGACGTTGCAGATATGTGGCTTGATTATTGTAGTTGACGTTGATTTAGTGACTTTGGCAAGTTTGAGTCGTGTCAAGAAGTCAGGTAGGATTCAGTACTAGGCAGTAGTGAAACGTGAGTGGTAGTCTTTGCCGGTTTCTGAGGGTATCCTGGATTTGGTGTGCAGCGCTGTGGAAATGGCTTGCTGTGGAGGTCCCAGCACTGGATGTTTTATCAAAGGTACAACCTCGTAGCACGTGCTAAACCTAAAAAAATTCAAAAATTGACTTGGGTCTGTGGGAGTCCGTGAGAGAACGCCCACTCGTTCCGTTGTGACAGATTTCAGGGCCTCGTTGAGGGGCCCTACCCCATCACCCATGGCTGCTTCTGGCCTTGTTCTAGGTTTGAGTCCCGCGCACGAACAGAATGAGCACGAAAATGTGAAAAAATTGTAAATGCATTTGTTTGGCTCCTGGGTGGCTCGCACACCGTGGCACTATGCCGGAAATTTGAGTTTTTCCGGCCTGGAAAGCCTGTCAGTGAGCCGCAATAACTTGTAAATCATGTCCTGAGGGCCAGCATAGTGGCAGGAGTGTGTGGTCAAATTTTCACTCAAATCCATTGAGAAACACCAAAGTTACGGTCAATTCAATGCCATATGAAATTTATGGGTAGGCTGCCCCCTTAACATTGCGCAGGCAAACAGCTCTATTTAGGTGATTGATTGCGTTCATTGCATCCGTGAACAGGACTCCCTCCGTGTAGTCATCATCGAAGGTGGTCTTCACGGCATGAATGGCGGCTTTCACGTCGCACTCTTGCCCACCGCATAACTGCAGACAGCCAACAGCACTCTCTACTGCCGATTATAAATACTGGACATGGATATTGCATTAAACTGTACTCAGTGACTTTTTACATTTTACAGGCTACGTTTTATTATTATTATTATTATTACTTGTATTATCAAGAGTACTTTCCCTCAAACCAGTTAATATTTTATGACTTGGGGCTCCCCGCGTGCTAGTTTGTACGTGAAGTGTTTGGGTTACAGTGAGGGCTGCGTCCCACCCGCCTGTGTGGATTCACAGGAAGTGTGAGTTACGGAGTCTGAAGAAAATGTTGAACGGCCTCTGCTGGGATGACGACTACACCATAGCTTGGTGGTTAGAGCATCGCTGGCTACAAGCGAGGGTCCCTGGTTCGAGTCCTGGTGGTGGCGGTCAATGTTTTCTTCAGACTTTTCCCGTTTGTCTCTTTCCCTCAAACCAGTTAATATCAAGAGTACCCTTGTTATTATTGTAAAGCTTTCCTTTTGATCTTGTCTCTTATTGTTGTGACCTTTCCACAATAATTGTGTTGCATTGTCAACAAACCAGTGAAAAAAACTGTGTAGCCAAAAATAAAACTCTATTCTGCCGAGCCAACAATCTGGAGTATGGATTTGACCAGAATGAGACGGACAACTTCTCCGATCCAGATAGGCCGAACACCTTGCTGCTTGTCCAAAGGCACTAGATGGCAAGCCACATAAGCTTCCAGTGAGATGGGGTCCACATACTTGGTAGCTATTTGCCTGGCACAGGTAACCAGAGCATCGCACAGTGCATCCGAGGCTGAGCAGAAGGTGTAAATGTACTCGTGCATGCCACGATTATCGTGAAAGTGGGCCCTCAGCTCGCTTGCACTTTTCAGCCACTTCCAGCCACTTTTCTCGTTCATAGGTAAAAAACCATAGCAACTAATTACTTTCCGGTGCACGTGGATTTGCCTGTCGTGTGAATACCCTATACGTTTTAGGCAAAAGTCTTACATGTACGTCCGTGAACTTTTACGTCAAATTTCAAAAACATTCACGTAAAATTTGACGTTTTGTCCGCAATAAAACGTTTTGTTACGTGAAAAAATTTGACGTGTTTAATATACGTGAGTTGACTGTACCACGCGTAGTTACGTGACGTGGGTTTTTGGAAGTTTCGTTTGATCATCCCGATCGGATTTGTCTGAGTATCCATAGTTTTATCGAGTTTGTTGTAAGATTTGAAACTTGTGTGTTGAGAAAATTCTGATGTTCAAACTAAACGCGAATCTAGCCATGGCAATATTTCACGTCACGTCGCACGTGTAACTTAAACCTCTAATAAAATTTACAGGTAACGTGAGATTTTCACCGCGCTTTAAAAAAAAGTAATAAAAAATGTGTATCTTAGCCTCTCTACTGTGTTAGAAGTTCCACGGACGCCACTTACATAGAACAAATATGGGATTTGTCGTAATCATTCGAAGTTAGCAAAGAATAATTCAAAGTTCACTATATTTTCTACAAGTCTGTTTGGCTTGCATGCGCAGGCAGTTCTGTGCCCACTAAATCTGTGTCTAAGGTGCGTAGCACAACCCTGCATGACAATGCGAGCATTTTAACATACATGTCCATTGTACATAATTGTGTTGTGGGTACATGTTTGGAGAATTGGTGTGTCCGGATAATAACAGTTGTTCTCTGGCAGTTTGAGGTTCGAATTGACAGGATTCCACCTGTATATTTTCGACGTGAGGGAGCGCATTATAATATTTTATTCATTGCGATTTTTCTTTTTCTTTTCTTTTCCAGGAACACAGGGTTAACGTCGAACTGTGTTAGATTCGGAGTCGAGCTGCATTCGGCTGGTGTCGTTTCGTACTCTCCGACTATGACAATTTAGATGGACAAAAAGCAGCAGTAACAAGCGGCAGTTTCACACGACGATCGTTTCGCTGGTGGTGGTAGTACATGTAGGCTAGTTGTGTTATCATTGCGTAATTGTAGTTCCCAGGCGCGTGCCCCCCCCCCCCCCTCCCACCCTTTCTTCGCTCAAAATGCAGGATTTAAACTGGATTTTGCTTTATTTTTTGAAAATTATCCTTCTTTCGACCCCACTGCTCTGTGCCCCTTCCCTCGCTTTCTCTTGTCCTTATTGTCCTCTGACTTGTTGAGAGGCCTGAGCGAATGCTAGAGGTGGATATGCACTATGTCGATTTGTTGATTTCTGTGTGTACAGAAAGATAGTATAATTGGGTTGAAATTGTTCAAGTAACGTGTCGTGTTTGGTGCGACCAAGCTTGGCCGCTTTCTTTCTCTTGTTTGTTCATTTTTCCATTTGCAAGTTTATTGTTAGCACACGCATTTGTTATTGCTCTAAAGGTTAAAATTCACACTTGTAAATTTCACTGCTGTTGTTTGTTTTGTTTGTATTCTTTATTTGGAGTGGGAAGTCCAAAACAGGCCCTAGCCTAATAACAATGGTCCCACTAGTGAGGGAATGCTGTATATCTGTGCATAAGGATCGGTGAGGGGGACAGCAAATAGTAGGGAAAGAAAAAGAGAGGAGAAAAACAACTCAAAACAGGAGTTGCGACTTGCATAGGAAGAAATTAACGGAAAGAGCAGTGCATACAGCATTTATAAAGAGGCTTATTTATCAGGTAAGCAAAAAGGCAAGAGCCATTAAGGTGGCAGACTACCCAAAATTTCGCTGAAAATCGAATTTGTAAATTCATATTGAGCGCTCCGTCAGTTGAAAGAGCGTGAATAGCTGCAAATTCCCTGAAACTTGAGACCCAAACTGACCAGCCGTTCAAGAGTTATGGCCGAAAATGTGCCCTTGCAAGGAAAGATTTTTTTGTTGCACGCTGTCATTTGTTGGCAGCACTGTATTTGAATGTAAGCAGACCGTACGCAACTTGTCGCATCATGGAAAGACGCGAAAGTGTGCAGAATTTTGCTCAGTCCAAAAAGTCCAAAAATCACGTTAAAAAACCACGTCAAGTCCTGCTGCACGGCGGCGGGCTTCGCCCGCCGCCGTGCAGATGGACTTTTGCCAGCACCCTCGTGACGTTGCAGATATGTGGCTTGATTTAGGCCGTCATCACACCACGTTCTCCGACTCCCGTTTACGTCTACGTCTATGGTGAAAAAACCAAAACGGGTGGTCGTGTCATCAGACAGGCACAGTTCTTGACGCGTACACGCAGTCAGGTTTGTGGAGAAATTTGAACCCACGTACATCGAAGTACAGGGTCGCTCGGAAAAAGGCTGGGGGAGATACGCACGTTCATGCAAAAAGTCGTATACCCCCGGCCCCCCTCTCCATACCACGTCCACGTCTCCCGTTTCCTCTGCTCCCGTTTTCACCCCGTATACGGATCATCATGACAACCGACCAAAAACTCCTTACGTGGACGTAGACGCAGCGCTTTGTACCATGGTGTGATGACAGCCTAAGGCCACCCTTTGTTAATTCATTGTTTAACGTCCTTTTTTTTCGCGAAAAGGTACGCGGGAGGGCGGAAAAAAAACAAAAGCCGATTCCAAAAACTGGAAACCCCAATCAAACATTTTGACCAGTAAAGCATGTGATATATACAATATTTCCGGGTCTAACGGCACTTGCAGGCATAGAACAACACTCTTCGATGGTACATTGGAGCACATGCCTGATGAATCCAACAAAACAGGTACATGTACATGTACATAGCATGGAGTTAGCATGTCATGAATTCATTACATCTGAATTTTTACTAGGACACACACCGTACGATATTTAGAAGCCAACAAAAAAGAAAAAGAACACAAGACAAAGGCATGCCCGGGAGGCAAGATTATAAGTTTAAGGTCATGATCGGCACACTGCACTGCACTGTAGCTGTAGGCGTTGGCGGATAATGCCGGCAGAAAAATTGGCAGAATTCGGTACTTTTTTCTGGTAAGTTTCATGCATGTTTGGTATGTGGATAAAGAAATGGAGCAGAATTCGAGGAATTGCCCGCCATAAGGTTTGTATGGTTCTGCCAATTTCGGTGGAAAAAAAGCAGAATCTGCCACCTTTTCGAGCATTATCCGCCAAGGCCTACTGCACTGTGAAACTACACAATCATGTATTTACAACTTACTTCGCATATTATTGGTACTACTACTTTCTTGGTTTTTTTTCGGTCGGAGGCAAAAAGGTACGCGGGCGCGGACGTTAAACAACGAAAAAAGAAAGGGTGGCCTAATGTAGTGAAGTTGACGTTGATTTAGAGACTTTTAGACTTTTTTTATTTAGAGGGCAAGTAGTGTTAGTTTGAGTCGTGTCAAGAAGTCAGGTAGGATTCAGTACTAGGCAGTAGTGGAACGTGAGTAGTCTTTGCCGGTTTCTGAGGGTATCCTGGATTTGGTGTGCAGCGCTGTGGAAATGGCTTGCTAGCTGTGGACATCCCAGCACTGGATGTTGTATCAAAGGTACGACCTCGTAGCACGTGCTAAACCTAAAAAAAATCAAAAATTAACTACTACTTTGGTCTGTGGGAGTCTGTGAGAGAACGCCCACTCGTTCCGTTGTGACAGATTCCAGGGCCACGTTGAGGGACCCTACCCCACCACCCATGGCTGCTTCTGGACTTGTTTTAGGTTTGGGTCCCGCGCACGGACAGAATGGGCACGAAAATGTGAAAAATTGTAACTTGATGATGCATTTGTTTGGCTCCTGGGTGGCTCGCACACCGTGGCACTATGCCGGAAATTTGAGTTTTTCCGGCCTGGAAAGCCTATCAGTGAGGCGCAAGAACTTGTTAGTCATGGCCTGAGGGCCAGCATAGTGGCAGGAGCAGGGAGTCGTCAAATACCTGGGCAGGAGTGTGTGGTCAAATTTTCACTCAAATCCATTGAGAAACACCAAAGTTACGGTCAATTGAATGCCATATGAAACTTATAGGTAGGCTGCCCCCTTAACTTAAGGCCGATTCACAATACAGTCGTCCCTCTCTAATCCGGCACCTTTTGCTACGACGTTTTCTGCTGGATTAACGAGGGTGCTGGATTAAGAAATCCTGCCCTCTGACCCGGCCCTACCCAATTGTATGCATATATCATACGTCAAAACGCAGGGTTTTCCGTGTCAACCCAAGTATTTGGTGCACGGCTTTATATTCTCAACTGTTCTCCAGGAATATACACAGTGATAAAGTGATAAAGTAAAATAGAGAACATGTTCACATGTACTCTTGCACACACACGCACACACACACCTGAAAATTGGCAGCACACTACTCCTTGCTGTCAGCGAATTGTGAAAATATAGCAGTCAGGTCTGCAGCAGTGATTGTGGCACCGCAACTCGAGTCAACTGAACTGAACTCTGAAGTGGCCCCGCGCGCGCGACACTGACCAGCTGGCCTAGCCTGGCCGGCCTGGCAAGGAGTGCACCTGTTCCGTACGCGATTTACGACCGCCGGATTATGAAATCAGGCTGCATTGATTTAACTTTCTTTGCAACTCCTGCAGTCTAGGTACTGAGTATCATTGTTATCCTCTGTGTGTGTGTGTGTATGTGTGTAGGCGAGAGTCAACAGCTTTGATAAAGTTATTGTGTTTACCCCTCTTGTTTTCTCATCATTGTGTTGCTTTTAATTTTTAATCTTGCCCGTAAAAGAGGCTGTCGTTACAGTAAAAAAAATAATAATAATAAAAAAAAGATTATGAAATCAAACTACGTTCAGTTTGAGCGATTCGTTTCAAAAAGTCACTCCTGGAGGCGGAATTCAAGTGCCGGATTAAGATGTAGGAATCGAACGAAAAAAATCGGTTTCGTCAGAAAGTGCGCCGGTTGGCAAGGGTTCCGGATAAACAAGTGCCGGATTAGAGAGGGACGACTGTACAACCCAGGGTCGAAATTGTACTCCATTGGTGTATGTCGCGTGTCGAATGTCGCAAAAGTTGAACTTTCTTCAACTTCTGCGACAGGCGCCTTGCGACAGCTTGCGACAGCTCGCGACAGCTATACACGCAGTTTCTTGTCGCAACTGTCGCAAATTGCGTGTCGCGTCGCAGACAGGTGTCCTGTGAATAGGGCATTATAGTCCGAGCTAGCGTGATGTGCCTTCCGTGGGCAAGATCCTCATCCGCACACCGTGACACCAGGGACCCAGCGTCTGTCGAAGTAGCCGTAGCACGTGTTTCCTTGCAGGACCGTTGAACTAAAGACATGTAGATGTGTGTCTCCAGCCCTTGGCGAGCTTTTCGCCTCCACACAAATTTCTTGCCCCTTATTATTTCACGGAGAAGGCGGAGAGCCCGAACGTGCGGAATTTTAATTTTTTTTATTTGCCATGGCGACCCTCGTCAGCCCTCATAACTGGCAGGTTAGGGTTGGGCCTTTTTTTCTTTTTCTTTGACATATCTACGTCTTGTTTTGTTCGCCCGTAAAAGAGGCTTCGTGCAACTGTGAGATAGAGCTTGTTGACTTTTGTACAATTGTACAATTCGTTCTCGCAAAGCTTCCCCCTTCTTAACTTATCTTTGATATTTTTGACCCACCCAAGTTGGGTGGTGTGCTGCTTTGCTGCTTCGAATTGTAGTTAGACCGCTTTGTCAAATCGCCTACTGGTCTTGTCATCGTCCAGTGACAATCGACATTCTTTGTTCCGTTGGGACTGAAGCTTGTGCTCGTTTTCGTTGCGCTTGCCTTCCCCTCTTTGGTCTTTCCATAACCTTGAACCTTCCAAGTTGGAAGGCTGTCGGTTAGCGCTACGGAGATGTGTTGAAGCTAGGTGTCAGGACGTCGAATGTCTCAGTACTCTGTCAGTTTTGTGCCAAGTTGTTGCACTTTCTGACTGTATAATATCTAGTTACAGTGGTGGAGAGTTACTCTTAACTCGTTTCCATATGTCCTTTTCCTTTCTACTTTTATTATTGGCTCAATACCCGAGTTTCAAATTATAATAATATATGTCCATTGTTCCTCAAGATTCTGAGCTTTCTGTTTGTCTTTCTCTTTATCATCATCCTGAATGGCACAAGTGAAGTAG